AATAATTTTTAATCTAAATCTCAATTTGTTCTTATGGTTTCAATTCGTCCTCTGCTTTTGTTTCTTTTCCACTCTTTCGTCCTCTTCCCCCTCGCTTAGAAAATCTACGACGAAAAAGCTAGAAAAAACTATCTATTTGGTAAATGCTGTATTGATTCCCTGCTGCTAGAAAAAGCGAAAACTGTTCCCCCAGCACATGAGAACTGGTCCCATGCAGTGTATCTTTCTTTTCAAGAAAGTGATTTTTAGGTAGCCACCTGCAATGTACTCAACGCTGCCATAGCGCGTTGTAGTCTACCAAAAATCTATGATTGGGGTACTAAGACCGTCTATTTCCAACCACAATCAAGAGGGGCTAATGATGAAAAAGCTTTCGTTGGATACATTTATTTCGGTAAGTGTGATACTCTCAGCCTTTCTGGAAAGAAATTTAAAGAAAAAAAAATATGATTTTAGTGCCTCCAACACTGGATCCGCAACGTTTGGATATCGGTAATCTTTATGAATGGTACAAAAATCCAATGCCTAATTATGTAAGTTTCTAACTTCTTCAAATTTACTGAACTAATTTTATTCAAATTTCCTCAGCTCATGCCGATCTCATGGTTCCCTCGTAATTTCACAAATCCGGATCTATTTAACAATCTTAATCAAGTTGGTACCAGGATCTCTGATGATGCCTTATATGGCGTACAACTAGGTCTCTATGTGATAGGTTACAGAGAATACAAAGATGACGAGGTAAGAATGAATATAAGTTTCTTAGTTTTCAATCTCACAGGGCAAAACTCTAATTTCATTCTTAGATCAAAAAATTCCGACCTGAACATCGTACCCTAGCACGTATAGCCACTTACACCAATCGTAATACTTTTGATTATCGTTGGAAAGCTCAAGAGGAGGTCATCAACTTGAATCAGGTAAAAATAATGCACATGATTTTAAAAATGTTGAGGCAAACTTGACTTAAGGTCCAACAGTGGTATTTAAATGATTGGGAACGTTGGAACACGTTGTACACCTATCGGGTTGGATATTTGAAATTAGCACCAATGCGGCCGAACGATATGAATGGAACGGAGCTGTTAG